GGCTTGTTCATGGCACAGGCTGTACCTAGGGATGCAGATGTGTCCACAGGGCAGTGGGGAAAGGTCTACACCTAGAAGGGTCTCTGCTTTCTTTGAGCCCTGTGCTCTCCTGACCTCTACTCTGAACAATGCTCAGCCCCAGACCAGGCAGGACTCTGGCTCTTGTTCACAGTTCCCCTGGCCATACCAACAGCTCTGGGCTTGTTGGTTCCAACAAGAACAGAACTCTAGGAGGTCCAGGAAGACTCGGGGACCTTCCCCAGTGCCAGATGCTTGCAGGGGTGACCCTCTGGGAAGATCACCCCAGTCTGGCCACCTTGCCACATCCCCCTCACCCACACTGTGTGCACCTCCATCGTTTCAGGGCTTTGTGCCAGATACTGGGAAGTGGTGGTGAACAGACTCCTAGAGCCCCCAGTCTCAGTGACCTGATGTGCTGGCTAAGGCTGCCTAAGTCATTGGCCCCACACTGAAGATACAGCAGTTACTCCTCAGCATCACCCACTGTGTATGGTTCCCTGTGTCCCCAGACTAACCCCAAATTTACAAGCATCTGCGGTCAAGGGATGTTGGCCAAGCTCCATCTTTTAAGACCGTTTGCAGGGAGGTAGAAGTCACCGTTCCTATAACTAACCTTACAGCTCCCACTCCCCAAGTAAACCCTTCAAGTCACTGCCGCACAGTGTCCAGAGCCCTCAGCAGACCAGGGCCTGCTCCTGTCGGACCTCCTGTGTTCTGCCTCGTGTCGTGTACCGCGCTCAGCCCTCCCATCTGAGGGAGGGGGGTCTTAGGCATCAAATCTACTGGAAGCCCTCAAGAGCATAGTCCATAGGGAAAACTATCCTGTCTGCCATCTGTGTGCCGTGTTGGGGGCTGGGGGGAGGGCAGATGTGCATGATAGATGAGACTTGGCTCCGCCGTGGCTTTGGGTATGGGAGAAGTGTTGTAAGTGACCAGACCAGGGGACTGTCTCACATCTGTGGAGGCCATGTCAGTGGCCATCCTACAGTTCCTAAACGGTTCAACTCAGCAGGCCAGGAGCCAGTTTCCAGGATGAGTGCCTTCACCACATTCGTGGAACCATGCCTGTTGCCTAGATGCCTGTGGGCAAGTCATGTGCCCTGTCCCAGTGACCATTCCAAGAATCTTCCCTCTAAGCATGGGTGGAGCCCCCAAGTCTCTGGTCTGAGTTGTGGTGGGTGCTGTTGAACTCTATTTTGGTGAGGAAGATAGAAACCTCCCTGTCTGAGCCACTCACCAGCAGCTCTGGCCTTCAGCCTCCCGTGATCCCTTATGTAGAGCCCCTAGATCCTGGTCCCTGTCTCTTTGGATCCTCTTGGACCAGGCAAAAGCCCTCCATTGACTCAGCCTCCCAGGTCAGGCCCACACCTCCTGTTAGGAACTGAAGGCACCTGACCTGTGTAGGCTGCACTGGATATTACCGAGTGTCCTCCTCATAACCTGGCTATCCACAGGCTCCCACAGGGAAGGTTGACATTGCCCAGTCCTTGCCTGCTGCAGAAAGCACCTCTGCAACAGATGCACCCATGATTCCCACATGCTACATGCTGCAGCCAGTGCCCTGGGGGCAGGTTTCTCTCCCTTCTCCGTCCAACCCAGCCTCTTGACAAGGGACCGGCCACACCCAGGAGAGACTCATGAAGCCTCCAGATCCTCCCTCCCTGCCCAGTAGGCTGCCACCCTCTTCTGAGATTCTGCGGGCACAGAGTGTCTTCTAGCTGCCACTGCTTTTCTCTGAGCCCCCTGCTGAGCTCCAGGTGCAGCCCCACGTCTCCCAGGGAGCTCCAGCCCCTGTCACCAGAGATTAAGTCTGAACAACCAGAGGTGAGCAACCTTCCAGGCTGTTGATCCGATCAGCTAGAGAAAGAACGGCCCAGCATCCAAATGGACAGGGCCGGGCATGTAAACAGCCTCCCACAGCCCACCCTTCAGTAAGAAGAGCCTTGAGCACACCTGCTTGGAGACTGTTCTGGGCTTACAGACACTCCCCCATGTCAGATGACAGCCATGTAAGGAGGAAGCAGATGCAAGAGAAGCAGAAATAATGGGTCCTATCCAAAGTCCTGGGCCCACTAGTGGGAGCAGGGAACCCTGTGAAGGGCAGCTTTCTTCCCTTCCCCAGGCCAAAATGCCACCAGCAGAAACAGTGCCCTTCCTAGCAGCTCCTGGCCTACTCCTCCTCCCTACGTTAGCTTCCTGCGCCAGCCACAGCTGCCTGCCCTGCACAGGGGAAGCAGCCTTCCACTTCTTGGTCTTCTCCCTGACTTCTGACTTGACCCCTGTGGCCTATGTGCACCTTCTAGTCCCAGGCCAGAGGCTGGGCACCCCATGTTCCCCTTAGCAGAGCCTTCTTAGGTGCAGTGTCCCCCCTCCTGGCCCATTGCCATCACCTACCCTCATTAACTGTAATTTTGTAAGAGAGTGACTTGTTGGTTTAATAAATACCTAGTTATTGTAATAATTTATTGGCTGCCATAATGTATTTATTAGTCACCCACCATTAATAAAAAGTGCCAGCTCTTTCTAGCATGAGTGTGATGTGTTGTGTCGGTGCCGAAGAGCTTCTGCCAGATAAACCCACATGACAGGTTCTTGTATTCTCCCCAGTTTCGGGACTGTGGGTAGCCTAGCAGAGCAGGCACAGGTGGCCACTGGCCACCCTGCTCACTCCAGGCTGGCTGTGAGGCAGAAGGTGTGTGTGTCCTGTGCTGAGCTGCTTCCCAGGCCCCTAGCACCTGGTGTCTTGATACCTAGGACCGTGGTGCATGCTCTGGTGCTGGGTGCTGGTCATGGTGACATGGCTTCCTGCTGTTCTCAGCTCTGCTGCCACCTGGGCAGGTAGAGGACAGGGAGGAATTGAGCCTCAGGAGGGCTCCAGTGGCTCCGTGCAGTGTGAAGGCAGTGGTGGGCAGGGGGTTGTTGGCCATCTGTGATCCCTGACTTCTCTTTTCTCAATTGGTGGTGTCCGATATGCATGTACTTGGTATCTTTCCTCCCGAGAGTACAAGCTGCGCTCTGGGGAAATTGGCAATGGACTCCTGAGGGGGGACTGTCAGGCTGAGCATGGAGAGGGTCTCGGTACCGGCGCTCCCCCACCAGCAGCTCCCTTCTCTCTGCCCTCCCAGAGTTCTGTCCAGGCCTGCTGCATGCAGGTCTGCGTACACCTCTGACCCCAGAACCTCTGCTCATCTGTGTTGCTCCCAGGACCTCAGACCTTGTTAATGCATGTGGTCGCCATACTACTGGCCTGTGAGTAGACTGCAGTGTGGGGGTAGGGAACAGTGGGCCGAGATTCAGCAGACAGGGGTCCAGCAGCCTTGGTGAACTGCTCTTGAGTCCTCCAAACCTAAGCTTTAGGGACCCTTGAGAATATCCATCCCTGTCCATAGCAATTGGTCCCTAACCTTAGCTTGGACAACTCTGGTGACCCCTCTGTGATTTTCCTCTGTGTCCACCACCATCTGGAGACTTGCTAGCTCTTGGGACAACTTGCAGTGGACTTGAGAATGAGAGCTTGCTTCTGGCTGAGGTTTTGCAGTGACAGCCAGAGGACATGGCGCCCCGGCATAGGATGGAATGCCTTTTCCTGTTGTCTCCTTGGGGTCTCAGAGCTTCTATACTAGACTCACGTTGGTTGCCAGTGTCATGGTGCTAGGTCCTGAACGTAGGTCCACATGGTGCTACCTCGGTGAATACATTCCACCAAGATGGCACAGGCAAGTAAGTCCTGTGCTAAGGACGGGGAGGCTTTATTGGAGAGTAAGAATGAAGGTCGCTGGATTTGCTTAGCGGAATCAGAGGGCAGGAATTCACTATAGATACAAGGGGCACTGTAGCATGCACTCTACCACCTGAGCCTCACCTCCCAGGACTACTCTTTGCTCTTTAGGGTCACAATTTTATCATCTTATTGCTCCCTACAGGTTGGTGAGGCTAAATGGCATTAGGCAGGTAGAGTGCTGAGCATGCTGCTGTCTCAAGAGCAGGAAGGCAGCGTGGCCACTAGGCCTGCAGTTAGCCCAGCTCCCACTCGTTGTCTCAGGTCCATGAGCTGCATCAAACCAGAATTATCCTCTGCCCTCCTGTTAACTTGCTAGAAATCTAATGTAAATGGCTCAGAGTTCAGACCCAGGTGATGAGCTCCCCAAAGCTAGAACACTTTGGGGCACTTTAAGAGAGGCATCTCTTCCCACACCTCTCTGTGCAGAGAGACCCACTGACAGCAACAGGCTCACCTACAGCAACAAATAGGTGAATGTGCTTGGCTTCTACAATTGCCCTTTACCCAGGGCAAGAGGCCATTCTCCTGAAACTCGGGCTTTATCCTGGGTGCCCATTGCATTCAGCCATTTACTGAACAGATTTCTGTGTATAAGGTAGTAATTCATGTCTGGGTTGTAGGTCTTGTAGGTCTGGTTGTATAGATGGTTTAGGCCCAGCCCAAGGAGACATCCCTTGCCCCGATCCCTGAAAATGGCCCTGCACACTCCTTGAGTAGCCACCCTCAAGGATGCTAGTAGCAGTCCCTCCATCATCTTCCTGGCATGTACCCTCCCACCTGTTACCCCATGAGAGAGGCCTGACTGGGCCAAAGAAGAAGGGTCCAGACAGAAATCCCACCTCCCTGACTGCAGTCCAGCGCTGTGCTACACACATTCTAGGGAAACTATCATATGGCTGGGGGCTCTGCCATTCTGATGCTGGGTCTCCTAACCTCAGCCTCATCCGGGGAACCACAGCAGGTTCCCAGATCACTCTCCCGTTGGCCCAGAATGGTGGGTGCTTGCCATGCTAGCATCAGATGCTCTGTGATGTGTTCCCAATTGTAGGCTTTACACACTGATCTCATGGAGGAGCCTGGAGCCCAGGGCCTCCTGGGTGCTGAACAGCCCAGTGTCTCTACACCTAACTCTCTTCTCTTCCCTGTCTCTGTGTGTGTCTCTCTCTGTCTTGCTCTCCCCTCCACATCGGGGCTGCAGAACCGCATGCACGAGTCTCTCATGCTCTTCGACTCCATCTGTAACAACAAGTTTTTCATCGATACCTCCATCATTCTCTTCCTCAACAAGAAAGACCTCTTTGGCGAGAAGATTAAGAAGTCACCCTTGACCATCTGCTTCCCTGAATACCCAGGTGGGTGTCACCATGGCCCTGTACTAGAGAAAACCCCATTCCTGGTTGTGAACCTGGATCCCCCACCCACACCCCCCACCAGAGACACCAAATGGAATCCCACAGTCTGTGGGCTCCAAGGACAGGCTGTGCAGGCCAGCTAGAAAGCAAGGGCCAGTGCAAGATTCTGTCAGCTTATTGGAGAAGCACCGAGACATGACCAGCTGTGAACATGTCCCTGAGTTGGCAGTGGCCTTTCCAAAGCCACAGGTGTCATAGTGAATGATTTAGGAATCAGGGACCACTGGTGTTCTTTGCTTTCTTCCCTGACGTCTCAAGACTTAGGCATTCCTAAAAGCCTACCAAATTCTCATGAGGTATCTCTTCTCACCCTGGCCCAGCACAGCCACCTCCTTGTGAGAGGCAAAGGCAGACTGGAGGAACCTGCACTCTACCATCAGTTTGCTTGGAACGCACTACATCTTTCCCATCGTGCCAGCTCCCTAACCTTCACCCAACCCCGTGACAGCTGCTTTCTTCCCCCAGATCAAACTACTCCATGTATTGCAAGCTTCCTCCACACCTGCCTGTTTCTCTTCTGTCTTTTGGGGATCTTTTCCCCCACTTTGTTTGGTCCTCAGGGGAATGGATCACAGACCGTCCTCTGCCTCATACCAACAAAGCTCTTTCCAAACAGGTACAGGAGGGGAAGGCTAAAGGCAGAGTTGACTCAATGCCAGAGCCCATCCCAGCCCTCTAGAGACTGAACAGTTTTCAGGTCCCCTTGGGGCAAAATTGAGGACAGGCAAAGGCAGCAATGTACCCCATCCTTCAGGTATGATCACATGTCACATGGACTTAGAACTCACTGACATAGCCCTGGAATTGGTCTGTAGTACTGGACTCAGGTCCTAGGCCTTGCAGGTCCCCCAAACCAGCCAAAGTGATCCTAAACTGTAGCACGGGGGATGACAGTCTCTCCAAGCTTCTTCACCACCAAAAATAGCTGTGTGAAGGAGAGGACCACCAGCTTATACCGAGACGCACTGTGGTGCTTGCAAATTGCAAGGTACAGAGGGAGTCAGCTACTTAATCTGCAGCACCCCATTTTTATCTGGGAGCCATAGCAGACCATGATGGTACCTCAGGGTGGCTAGAGGGAGAGAGACTGGTGTTTGGTACCAGTTTTACTAACTACAGGTCGTTGCTATCAGTACTGAGAGTGAAGTCTGAGGGAAGCAAGTGCCTTCTGTAGGCAGAGCAAGTGCCAAAGCATACCAAAAGGCCATGCTGGTAGGCACAGCTCTCTAATTCTTTAGTTTCAACAAGAATATCCCAAATCCATAAAATTGTGGCTATGTAAGGAGGTGACGGTCTCAGGTCCTGTCTTTAGGCTCATTAGGAATGTGGCCAGTCACACTGTTGGGGATAGCTGCTGGCTGTCCTCAGTTCAAACAGCATAAAGGATAATAATCAGTCACAAATGTCATGCCACCGTGGTTATGAGAACATTGAACAAGTAGGAGGAGGGTTAGGAGGTGGCTGTCTGAGAGACTAGGTGGGCCAGTGTGTTCCAGGCAGCAGTGGGACTGTGTAGAAACACTCAGTTCAGCAGATGGGGCACAGTGAGGCAACCCCTCCATCTGGAAGTCCACCTGCTCATCTTGGAGCTTTCCAGCCAGAAAGCTCCTTGACAGGGGAGCTTCTGCCTCTCTCTGGTCTCAGAAGGCTTTATAGTCGCTCAGCACTGAATGACCTTCTGTTCTCAATAGCTCTGTGATGGTGAGTGGAGGAGGCTAACCCTGACCCCTCAGCCTTCACATTGGCTCACCACTAGCCTGAAACTCCAGCCTGGAGCTATGTTTTGTTCCAGCTGGAAAGTCCTTGCCAGTCAGTGCCTCCAGTGGCCCACACCCCTGACCAATGATCCTGTGCTCCCACTCTCTCAGAATGCCATCGCATTGTTCCTGTACTAGGCCACATCCTAACAGACTGAGGGAAATGGGGCGTCTTCCATGTTCTGGGCTTTTCCAAACTTTTGTCATGGTCCATATTGTATGGTATTCAATAAAAGGTGACTAAGGGGCATATCCACACTTTCTTAGACTGTAGTTAGTTGGAAAAGTCCTTGTATCACCCACAGATGAGCCCTGCCATTGCCACCCAGCCTGCCAGAGTCAAAGGAGCACCTAAGGAATTGTTGGGGCACTGATGGAGCCCAGTGGATGTCTTGTATGAGGATATCCTTGCAGCCTCTCACCTGAGAACTGAGACTGCTCAGTGATGGCGCAGCCCACGGAGGGGCCTCTCAGAAGGTGCTACTGCACATAGAGCACAGGCCGGCCTGGTGCCCACCACACCTAAAGTACACAAGACCCTTTTGGTGGCACTCCTCCTCAGGCTTCATTTATAGGTTTGTTAGAATTGCAGGGCTGGAGATGGAGATGACTCAGTGACTGATTAAAAGTGTTTCCTGCTCCTCCAAAGGATCCAAGTTCAGTCCCTAGCACACACCGGGTGCTCAAAACTACCTATAATTCCATCTCCAGGGGACCCAAAGCCCTCTTCTGGTGTCCGTGGACACCTGCACCTGTGTTTGCTTACGCTCACACAGATGCACATACACTCAGAAAAACAGAAAGAAAACTTAGAAAAGACTCCAGTGGGCTGTGGAGGTGGTTCATAACACCCACTACTCTTCCAGAGAACCTGGGCTTGGGTTCCAGCATCCACACAGCAGCTCACAACTGTCTAACTCCAGTTCCGGGGGAGCTGAAACCCTCTTCTGACTGCTGCAGGTGTACGCACATGTGTGCTGCACAGATACACATACAGGCAAACACCTGTGCACAGAAAGGAAAATTTAAAAACAACAAAAACCCAGAGTCATGGAGTTGCTTTAGATTTCAACTTTAGGCCATCTAGATTTGCTATCTAGAGTAAATGAGATCATCTGCGGCTTGCTCTTCCCAGAGCTATCATGCACATCTAAACAAACAGTAAGTAAAAGCCTGAGGAGGCAGAAGCCAGGCAGGCAATGCCAGGCCTTTCATGTTTTTTTTTTTTTTTTTTGAGTGTGGTACTATTTCTGTCTCACCCCATCCCCCACCACCCCCATCTGCCTCTTGACCACTCCCCTCCCCTGTTCACCCTCAGCTCACTAGGGCCTCTCGCCTGTTCCTCTCTATCTTCCTACAGGCTCCAACACCTATGAAGATGCAGCTGCCTACATCCAAACACAGTTTGAAAGCAAAAACCGCTCACCTAACAAAGAAATCTATTGTCACATGACTTGTGCCACAGACACGAATAATATCCAGGTGGTATTCGACGCTGTCACCGACATCATCATTGCCAACAATCTCCGGGGCTGCGGCTTGTACTGACCTCTTGTCCTGTATAGCAACCTATTTGGTAATGATTCCAGCACTCACAGAACAGCTTGCGTACACACACACACACACACACACACACAAACACACACACACACACACACACACCACTAACCAGTGCAAGTTGGTAAATAAACTTTAAAGAGGCATAACAAAAACATTATCTATACACAAATATATATTAGAAAAATGTTTTTAGTTAATACTGGGAAGAGCTACAGACAGAACTGACCACCATCCCTAGCTCACCAGTTTTCCTGGGACAGCACATGGGCATGCACACGTGCGTGCACACACACACACACACAGTATGATGGTACCTGGGTGCACACGTGTGTGCACACACTCACACAAGGCATGGTGGGAGCCTGGGTTGGGAATCCTCTGGACAGCCCCAGGGTTTTACTTTCCAAGACCCACTCTATGAGCAGGGCAGGCAGGAGGCCTGGTTCTGTTCATCCAGCCTGCCCCACTCTACATCCTACCAGTAGGGCAGTAAGAGGCTGCCTGCTCAGCTCTTCCCTGCCCCTGCTCAAATTCCAAGACCCTTTCAGAAATGGTCAACATTCTAAACATCCCCCTACCCTACAGCCACAACAGAAAAACTCTAAAGACCCTTCTCTTTTGGGTGGTGGTGGTGGTTTATTTCAAGAATCTAGAAGAATCATTGCTCCGATCAATCCACTGTCTCCTGAGTTTTCTTTATTTATGGGAACAGAGAAAAATTAGAGAGATGGGAGACCTGGTCTGCTTTTTCAAATAGCTGAGGGGAGGAAACACACAAGCCAAACCCACCTAACAGAGTTAAAGCCAGATTCCCTCAAAGAGGGCTCGTGGACAAGATGTAAGTGGTTGGGGGAGGGCTGGACTGGCAGGCGGGGCCAGAAGCAGGGTCCAAGGCAGAGGCAGGCTTCCCTACTAAGGGTACCCTACTTTGCCCTACCCCTGGCATTAGTTAAAATGTTCTAGGGTTTGTTGGTTGATTGGTTTTTAAAGTCAAAGAAAATGGTCAGACTGGCCCTATCTCTCTCTCTACAGACTGCTTCATGGACTCTTTGCTGTTGATGTTGATCTCCTGGTAGCATGACCTTTGGCCTTTGTAAGACACACAGCCTTTCTGTACCAAGCCCCTGTCTAACCTACGACCCCAGAGTGACTGACGGCTGTGTATTTCTGTAGAATGCTGTAGAATCCGGTTTTAGTTGAGTCTTTACATTTAGAACTTGAAAGGATTTTAAAAGAACATTTCTCATGTGCTTTGTAGCTTTAAAAAAGAAAAATGGAAAACTCATCATTTCATCCATATTTCCTTTTATTTTGAAATAAAAAAAACCAAACACATCAGCACCCACACCCTCTCCATCCCAGCTCCGATTGGGGCCGGCACACAGCAGCAGTGCTGGGCCTGGCACCTCCCAGGGCTTCTGTGCTGGTGGGAAAAAACCAGGCCAGGCTTTTCAGAAGGCAGCCGGTCGCTGTTACTCCCCCACCCCCCTGCGCCTGTTGGCTGTCCTAGCACCTCATATGCCACCAGGCAGTGGCAGCTCTGCTCTGCCCACCCACGCAACTCCAAATACACACACTCCAAGTCCGCATAGAAAAAGCACAGCTCTGGCGGGTAGCTGCCACAGAGAACACCCATCATCTATAGAAACCCAGCCCTATATAAATAAGCAAGCAACCTTGCCCCTTCCTACACTCCCTTTGTGTTACTACGTTTTTTTTTTTTTTTTTTTTTTTTTTTTTTTTTTTTTTTTTTTTGTTTTTTTGTCCTTCCCATCAAATACCTGACCAGTCCTACTGGTATCTGGGGAATTGGGTTGTGTGGTTTTGGTTTGGTTTTTTTCCTTTAATACCACAGCCTCCAGCCTTGGGCAGAAGCCCGTCCCTCATGTGTGTCCCCCTCTCTACCTTTCCTCTCCTCTGTTCCAGTGACCTGTGTTCGCTCTCTCTCATGTTGGGATGTTTGTGCTGCAGATAAAAAAGAACAAAAAAATAAATAAATAAATGAATAAATAAAAGTTTTTAAATACCACAAGATGGAAGAAAAACAAAAAAAAATTAAGATGGAATGTAGTGTTTACATTAAAGCCAGTTTTCATGATCAGTCCTATGTCATTTCTACTTGACTAGTATCTAATCCCAGACATGTTCACAGTTTCACTTTTAAGACAATATTTGCTGAAGACCAGTCACAGCCATTTCAATAAAGGAGGCAAAAAGACAAAACACAAAAATTAAAAATACAGAAAAAAAAACTTGAAAAAAGGAGAAAAGTAAAAAAAAAATAATATAAATCAAAAGCCCGCGGGTCTTTGTAAGCCTTTCTATTCCCATCGGTGGGGTCTCTGTGACACCTGACACTGCCAGCCTACTTCTCTAATGGAAATTCATGTGTAGCTCAATAAAGAGAATGTTTGTCTGTACCGAGTCTCACCTTCTGCCTTCCAGACGATGGTTCCCGGGGCGAGCTTGGCTCTGACAGCAAAGGAAACACTTGGCCACACACCCTGGGGTGGTGGTGGGGGGTGGTGGTAAGGAATCTCTCCACATGATCTCCCAAGTCCCTCAACATTTTGTCACCAAGGGCAGCCAGTTCAGAGCATGGCGATTGGGAAAGCTGCTTAGTGTCTGTCTTTCCTCCCACTTCCCCCATGCCTCCCACACAGAGGAATGGGTGCAGAGAGTTGGGCAGCTTCTTTTCTGGCTGCAGCTCCTCCAGTTCAGCTGCTTTTTCTGCTTCTGGTAGGCCTGAGACTGGGCCGGAAGAGGAGAGGAGAGAAAAAAGCCACACCCTTCTCCGGTCTCCTGTGCCCAGGGCTTTCCCTCTAAGAGGGCCAAATCGCCTCAGCCTTCCATATCAAAGTCTCTTGGGAGGGTTCCTTTTGCTTTGCTTGTCCTACTACAGCAGGGCACAGGGCACTCAGCGGGTAGAACACAAGGGAAGCAAGACAACACAGCCTGGCTCTCTCAGTCTGAGCTCTTCAGCTGTTGCTCTCACTACACCCTCTAATTACTGTGGCCTTGCAAAGAACTAGCCAATGGATTAAGACTGGGCCTACCAAAGTGCCTCATATGGCAGGCCAGTCCTTAGGCCAGCAGTAAACAGCAGGTTCAGTGTCTGTAATGGAGGGATCCTTACAGAGGTCTGCTTAGTCCCATCTCCTAACAGCACCCCACATGGACATTCTCAGCTCAGGAAGGCCTCTCCCTGACACACAGCACATGCCGTTGGTTGTTTGGATCCAGCATGGTGTGTGTGTGAAGGGGGGCACGACACTGTTTCAGACCAAGGCTAACAGTCCTGTCACCTGCCATTATGCTGAATACCTAGTAAATGCAGGCACCCTCTGAAACCTCTTCTGCCAAACCACACCTCTTTTCCAGTGCTTTCCCTACCAATTGTCTTCACCCCAGGTTGCTGTCTACAGAGGGACCCAAACAACCTACACCCAATCTACACCTTAACTGTTATATCAGAGGACAAACCAAGATTCCGATGGAAGCTTAAAGAAAAATACACCTGTTCCTGACAGGTCTCAATTTCTCTCCAAATGTGTTTCATTCCACCAAGTTCTCTCCCAACCTGTGAATGGATTTTGCAGATTTAAAAAAACAAAAACACACAAACTCCATTGTACAGCCAGGGCCAGAATCACTTCAAACCCAATGGAAAGCAGAGGTGGGAGACTGACCTTCAGGTTGGACAGGGAGCCTTCCAGGGCAGAGACACAGCTCCTTAACGAGCCTCCCATTTGTGTGTGCCCAGCTCCCAAAGAGCTCACAGATCAGTTTCCTAAAATCTCAACACAGGATCGAGCCTGCTGACTGCAAACTGAAGAGCACTCTCTACACTGCTCTAGGGAAGGTCAGGTTCAGGTTACCTGAGCACTCAAGAGTCACCAGTACAACAAATTTGCACAATCATTCTCTCTGCTACATAAAAGCCTCAAATTTTTAAAGGAAAAAAATTAAGGACCCAAGAAGATAAAAATCAAATATGACCAATGAGGAAAACAGAGAATTACAGAATAGTTCCAAAATTTCCCAGTTCCTTGGAGGTTTGCTGAAAACCAGAAATTTTCTATTAACACACAGAATCCTTGACTATCCAGATAATTCTCTACCAACTTCACTTTGATCCAAGCTATCTCCAGGGGGGTGGGGGTGGGGGATGACAAATCAAGCATGTACTTGGGACTTCTCTCCCTGGAACATCTTAAGGTATGTGAAAGCACTTCTGCTTACATCACTACTGTTCTACGATATTCAAGACCCTCTGAAACTGACTGCAAGCAGTTTCCACCTTCACATGTCTGAAATGTAATATGTGGGATCTGCTTCACCTTTATTTTCATGTGCAGCATGGAAAGATAGCATGAAAGCAGACAGAGAAACTCAAGTGTTGCCTTCTCCAAATAAAACACTAGGAGAAACAGCACCCTCCCACACACACAAGTTCAAAAAGGATTGTAACACCCAAACCCAAAGAGCAGACACAAAAGCAGAATGGGATTCGAGTGGCCCCTTGGAAGAGTGCTACCTCAGCTTCCAACCATATACAACACACTACAAGAGGTTGCTTTTTATTATTGTTGCTTTACAATAAAAACAAATCACTATGCTCTCAGCAAAACAGATTAAAAAAAAAAAAACTCACAGGAATTGAACTAACAGCAGTTCAAGGTAAGGCTTTTGGAAGATTTATTGAAATAAATTACTCTGCCTATTCATCTATTGCCCTTTCTTCAATTACTTGTCAACATTCTAAAAACTTCCAGGTATGTAAAATACATTTAACTTTGCCAATAATTTTAGATAATACTGGATTCTTCCCAAAAGGACTACCATAAAACTATGTTTTCAAACATTTAAAAAAATCCAATGGGACATAAAACTATGTAACCTATGATTGCGTTGTTTCAAATCCTTAAATACGTGGAGAATTTGAGAAAATCCAGGACCAAGTCTGCTTGAGGCATGTGGATTATT